CAGAAATTAAGAAATTTCAGAATTTTTATATAACAATTTTAAATATTTGAAAAAAAATTTTACGTGTGAAAGACCCAAGTGTTTTGCATACATATTTTAATTTGCTGCCTTTGTGCAAATAACTGATGTATTGTTATTTGGTATAGAGATTCATCAATTTTTTTTTTGGTTGGGGGTACAAGGTATTGAACCCAGGGGTGCTTTGCCACTGAGCAACCCTATTTTATTTTGAGACAGTTTTGCCAAGTTACCAGGGCAGGCCTCAAACTTGGGTTCCTCCTTCTTTAGCCTCCTGAGTTGCTAGGATTTCAGGTATGCACTATTATGACCAGTTGAGTTTCATCAAATCTTAATCCTCATCTTGCAGAATTATTGGAAACCTTGTGTGCTGTATTGGTGCCAGATATGTCATTTATAGATTACTCCTTCACAAGGCTGCAAACCACTTCATATGCCCAAATCATTTCCTTTCTGGAAAGGATACATTATGTCAGCATGGTTACCATGTGTGGTAATTGATAATGTCTGTGCCACATGGCTTACTTCTACCCTTGTCCAACACAGCTCTTCTACCACCTATGATTACCATATGGTACCGCACTCTAGGTTAATGGAATCATTTCCATCTTCCCTTCTAGTCACAAATGTCATTATGGCTCAATTCCATCAGCTCAACTAAGAATAAAGTATTCATTACTATCTAAGCATGGAAAACACCTTTGTGAACAGTTTTCACATTTAGTTGCCTGTTAAATTTTTATTTAAAAAAGCAGCTGGGTTTTTGTTTTCATTTGCTCTAGTCATCTGCTGACTAGAATAGGGAGATGATCAATATCATTCTGAATGCTTACATATATATATTCTACGTAAAAAATAATTAAAAATTAGGTGATAATAAGGGTAAATTTTTACCAACATTTTCTGATTTTTATAAAGTGAAAACTGGTAGCAAAATATTGACAGATTTTTTTTTCAGTTCACCTTAGAAAAGTCATTCATTATATCCATTAACTTTTTTGTTGTTTCTTTTTTTTTTGTTTTTGGTGCTGGGGATTGAACCCTGGGCCTAGTTCATTTGAGGGAAGCAGTCTACCAACTGAGATATCTCCCCAGCTCTTAGAAAAGTCATTCATTATAGAAGGAACATGTCACATGTTAGCCATTTATGGCACCATCATCAAATTACCATCAACCCTTGCTGCCTTCCTCTTTTGTAAGGATATCATAAAAAGTACAAAAATAGTTTTTATTGTTCAAACAACTACATAAGATAATAAAAATTGTTAATTTTTTTTTAGTTGTAGTTGGACACAGTACCTTTATTTTATTTATTTATTTTTTGTGGCCTTGAGGATTGAACCCAGCGCCTCACACGTATTAGGCGAGGACTCTACCACTGAGCCACAACCTCAGCCCCAAGAAAAAGTGTTATTAATGGTTAAAACTTTAAGGAAAAGGTTAGAAATTAGTGAAATTTAGTATATGTGGACCTATTAATATTGGAAGAGTACTTTAATTTTTGAACAGTTGCCTGTAATTTGATCATATTAGCCAGCAATAGAAAAGTAATAAATTATAGCAGTGATGTTTTTGCAAGTAAGTGGGGATGATTTAAAAATTATATTAGTGTTGGGTGTGGTTGTGCACACTTGTAATCCCAGCAACTCAGGAGGCTGAGGCTGAGGCAGTATGATTGCAAATTAGGGGTGAGCCTTAGCAACTTAGACTGTGTCAAAAAATTTGAAAAGTTAGGGATATAGCTCAATGGTAGAGCACCCCTAGGTTTAATCCCCAGTATGACAAAAACAAAACAAAAAAACCCACCATATACAATTGGTTTGGGAATTAGAGCAGGAAGTTTCCAATTTAAAAAATTTCTATTTGCTCAGTTGGTTTTTCAGTGGCCAGATATTCTGTTGCTCCCTACTAATCAGTTTGACAACAGTTTTTTTTTTTTTTTTTGGTACTGGGGTACTAAACACTCCAGGGGTGCTTACCACTGAGTGACATCCCTAGCCCTTTTGATTTTCTGAGATGGTCTCCTAAATTGCTAAGAGCCTCAACCTCTGGAGGCTCTGGGATTAATACAACTAGCTAAATTAATATTTTTAAAATGATATATTAGTTATCCTTCAGTTTGTTTTTGTGGAGGTAGAGGTTGAACCCAGGGTCTCATGCATGCTAAGCAAGCATTCTGCTACTGAGCTGTACCCCAATCTTCCTCCTTCAGTTTTCAAATATGGATTTTAAAATACACATTTTTATATTTCTACTTCACATTCATCATTAGGCCTAGCCTTAAAATATTTGCATAGGCATTGATCTGTAGGCCACTGGACATGAGGTATATGTGTTTTATTATAACTTAAAAATATAAAACTCCAGTATTTTAAAACATTTAAGTTACTACTTGAGACATGGTTTTAGCTTCATATCAATGACTTTTTGCAATTAGCAACATGAAAATTGATGGGACTTTTGAAAATAGCATTTCTGTTTTTGTCTATAAACAGATAAAACAGGCTTTTATTTTTTTTTTAATTTTAAATTTTTGGACTAGAGATTGAACCCAGGGGCACTCAACTACTGAGCCACATCCCAAGCCCTTTTAATTTTTATTTTGAGACAGGGTCTCTCTAGGTTGCTTAGGGCCTTGCTAAGTTGCTGAGGCTGTCTTTGAACTTGTGATCCTCCTGTGTCAGCCTCCCGAGTCACTGGCATTACAGCCACCCAGTCCCATAAGACTTCTTGACAGTGGTAAAATTATCCTACATAGCTTCTCTTAGATCCTAGCACTGTTCTCAGGAATCTTCGAGCAAAGCTGCTTTGTCAAATGGATGCAACAGGATCCATATCGATCTTTGTGAAGGAATATCTTAAAGCAAACACGCCTCACATTTATAGTAATGAAGAGATGTGGGCTTTTTCTTTTACTCTTAGAAGTAATGTTTCACCAACATATATCATTTCCCTTTGATATGTGGGTTGACTCATAAGATTAATGTCACAAATGTCATCTAAATGAGGGAGGCAACTACATTAGGAAGTAGGAAGGTGTAGGTTGATATGAATTGTTACAGTTGACAGCTATGTACTCTTGAACTGAATGTCATTATGTCAAATTCTGAGATATTAACAGTGGTTGGAATGTAAAACTGTGGACATTTAGGTTTGCAGCCTAAAAAGTTTTGTCAATCTTTCCTAGACATTTGAAATGGAAATGAACAGGTGGATTGAAAACAAAGACAAATGAGTTTAAAGGCTTTCTTGGCATCTCACAGAGAAGTTGCTTTACACTGGTGATGTTTTAAACAAAACACATATAAATACATTTAGCATGTCTGGAAACAGACTTATTGGGTCTTTCCATCTACCTTTAAAAATAAATATAGAGAACTCAAGTGCATTACTCACTATATACTTTGTATCATAAATTTAATCTCAAGCTAGGAAAAAGCATGGAACTCTATTTTACATTATGCCATAATGTACATTAGTGAGCTCAACCCACTTAATCTTAAAATTACAGTATCAGGTCAGGGATTTAGAATACAGTATTACATGAAAACAGTTGGCAAGGAGACTCCTCCTTCTGCCATTAATAACTGACTGAAAATGGTATTTCAGACCCTAAATCCAACTGAAACCCAGAAACAATAAATGGAGTGGATGAGGTGGATAATTTGTGAGACCATGTTTTTCAAAGTAGAGAAAGAACTACTGTTAGCTGAATTATATGTTGCCATGGACATGGAAGTATGCAGTAATGATACTATCATCTATACAGCTGTATAACAGCACAGCTTCTCCCTCTTCCACCCCCCTCAGTAAGGCTTGAAAATAATAGGTTTGTGTGTAGTTTGGTAAGAAAACTAGAATCATTTAAAGTAGTTTCAGTTCCAACTTAAGAAAAAAGACACAGGAGGGGATGGGGAAGAACAAACAAAATATAAAAATACATATTATGTAAAACAGTGTAATATGCATTATGCAGTAACTGAAGAGGGGCATCTTGGTGTGATAGAAAAGCAATGGGTGAAATCAATCATGATTGAGTCCATGTTGCATCACTTGCTTGTGACCTTGAGCAAAGTCACCATGTCTTCAAGGCTTGGTTTCCTCATCTATAAAAAAAAAAATCATAATGGTAATATCTTCCACCTCAAAGGAGTGTGTTAAGGATTAAAGGGATGAAAACAACTTGCAAACTGCAAAGCCCTATACAAACAAGGCAAATATGGACACCATGCCCTATTGACTTTTCAGAGAAAAGGGGTCTAAAAGGCATTGTAAATTAACAATCGATCTAATTCTAACGCCATAGCTAAAAGTTTTGAGACCTAGAGCAACTAAGTTACTATCTTCATATTCATTGTTTTTGAGCAAAGAGGATAACAACACAGAATCAAATGAGAAAGCTTGTGCAAAGTAAGCTACAACTTCGTAGGTATTCCTGGGGCCCCATCTTCTCCCCACTTGATCAGTGAGTGTCATCAACAAAAGGTGTTCACAATGTGGTGGTGTCTGGAACGAATAAGGAAAAACTGAAGTAAATGCAATTCAAGTGGGAACCAACTGCTAGATTTGGAGACATCTTAGTTCACTCTTAAAGTGAGGCAAGGGTCTCCATTCAATAAAAACAAAAGAGTTGGACAGCAAACACATCCAGTGTCCTTATTGACTCGGAGGACTCGACGGGAGGGACTCTGAAATTCTTAATTAGAACCGGTTGCCATGGCGACAGTCTCTAGGCAGCGTAGGCTGAGCTCTCCGTAGGGATAGAGGGTGGGCCGCCGCTGGACCCTGCGCGCGCTCGCCACCAACTTTCCCTCCAGACCTGAAAGGGGCGGCGCGCTCCGCCCCCGCCCCCGGGCCGCGCACGTCCACGCTCGGCGGCGCGCACGCCTGCGGGAGCCCTCTCCAGGCAACCTGGTGCTGATCGCTCGTGCTGGTGCGGCCGTTAAACGTCGTAGCGGGAGCCTGAGGCTCAAAAGCAGCCCCCTCCCCTTCCTGGGTTTCCTTCACTCCCTTCCCGGTGGGTCTCGGGGCATGAACAGCGATGGCCGGCTGCAGCCCAGAAGAGAAAACTTACCGGCGCTTCCTGGAGCTATTCCTGGGCGAGTTTCGTGGTCCTTGCGGCGGCGGCGAGCCAGAGCCTGAACCCGAGTCTGAGCCCGAACCTGAACTGGTAGCAGCTGAGGCGGCCGAAGCTTCGGTCGAGGATCCCGGGGAGGAGTCGGCCACGGTAGCCGCAACGGAGGAGGGAGAACAGGAGCAAGACCCAGAGCCCGAAGAGGAGGCGGTTGAGGAGGAGGCGGAGGCGGTGGCGGCGGCTGAGGGCGAGGAGGAGGAGGAGGAGGCAGCCCCGGGGCACTCGGCCGTGCAACCGCCGCCGCAGCCCCAGCTGCCGCCGCTGCCCCCGCTCCCGCGACCGCTGTCGGAGCGCATCACCCGTGAGGAGGTGGAGGGCGAGAGCCTGGACCTGTGCCTGCAGCAGCTCTACAAATAGTTAAGTAGCGGGGCTCAACTGGGGTGGGCCCGCTGTCCCCGTCGCGCCGGCCTCGGACGAGGCTTCCTCGGTAGCTCAAATTGCTATCTTTTCTGTTCAATCCCGAAACCGCAGCTACCGCCGCTGAAAACGCCCCCGCTGCTCGGACTCGGTCGGTGGGCTGTGAGCTGCCCACGCCTGCCTGGGTCCCTATGTCTCCTACCCGGTCCTGGAGGCGCTCTCCCGGCCCTCCCGCCGGCCTCTGGCCCCTTCTTCCCCCTTCGCCTCTGCTGCCAGCTTCTTGCTCCACTTCACACACCCTTTTCTGTTCTTGCCTCGGAAGGTCTTTTCTCCAATCTTGAGCCCTCTTATTCTCGGCTCCCTTCTTTCTGGAGGTTTCCTCCCATCTCAGTCAGTCTTTCCCCGGGTTGGGTCTCTGGTTTGGCTTTACAGAAGCGCGACTCCTTTCCAGGCTGATCTGCTAGGTGCCTCCTGCGTAACCGCAACAACAATGATAATACCGGCCCCATATCCAGATGAGGAGAGACTCGTAGATTTTCCGTTAGGCGCTCTATGTTGAAAGTGAGGAGCTCTTTAGATGGCTTAATACAAGGGAGCCTAGTATCTTAGTTGAGACATTTGACAGCTCATAATTGAGGCGGGAGGTAAGGAAGCGTAAATAAAATTTTACCAAGCCGATCTTCAGGTGAAAGTCGTAATTCGTTAAAGTGGAAAAGGCAGGCTGGTTTGATAACACTGCAATTAGGTGTAGTATTTTCAGTTCATTAAGTAGATGGGGTGGGAGATGGAGGAAAGCAGATGGCTTAGCTACACAGATGAAAGTCTAAAATAGAAAGGTCAAGGCTTTGCCTTTCATCCTAATTCTGGTTTTCATAGGCTTGAAATAGAAACGATTTACAGTTGCGTTTCTTTTAAATGGAATTGTTCTGAAATAATGACAGAGGAGAACACTAAGAAGTCTCTGAAACCATTGGTAAACCTGAGAGTCTTTTGCCATTCAGCTAATGGTTGTAATGAAAGGTGTTACTCTGACCATCCAAAAAGTTTACTACTGCCAGATGCATGGCAATTAAGTTCGAATTCACTTCTTGGATTTTCTCAAAAGCCTAAATGAAAGAAGGATGTGGAGTATAAACCTGTTTTGTCTTCATTCAGCCTAATAGACACCTGATCAAATCATTCTCCTCTTAAAGCAGCAGTTTATCAAAGGGAAAAAGTAATTAGCAAATCTCCTGTAAAAGTACACTGTGTTGATGTCTCATACCTTATGAGCTGTCTAAAAATTTAAATATACTGTTCGATTACCAAGGGAATAATCCTTTTTGGGAAATGTAAAAAATAAAATGGCGTGTAATATCACCACTCAGGGATAAACAGCATTAATGTCTGAGTGTTTCTTTCTAGTCTTTGTGAACTGTCATAGAAAAGACCTTTTGGAAGGTCATTTTTTATACTAAAGACAATTAATGCTTTTGCTTAAAATGGAAATATTTACCAAAGTGAAAGAATTTATTTCGGCATCAGACTAGTAATATTTTGATATTTAATTTTTACATTTACAAATGTGGTTACAAAATTGAAGGAAAACAAATTTAAACATTGGAGAATGTCCAAAAAAGAATCATTAGTTTAGTACTACAACCTTGATTATTTTCCCATTTGAGAGGGTTTTTTTTTTTTAATGAAACCTATATGAAGACAATGGTAAGAAAATGTGTTTTTCCTTTATAAAGGAAAAACAAGATTAATTATGGCACACTTATAAGCCAGAAAAAAAGATTCAAATAATACAGTGACCATGAACTTCATAACAGAAGTTTAGATTTGAAATAAAATCTAATTATACTAAAGTGATCTTAAATCAGAGATTTAATATTCTGATTTCACATAAAATCAGAACTCTGTGCTTTGTGCAGTTGCTACTAATGTCTTTTTATTCAGATATAAAATGGTTGGCTTGTTTCTGTAAAGTTTCTTTAAAGTCCTTAATGGGTTAAAAAGTTTTCTAAAATATATTTTAATGACATTGGAGTTTTATTTTATTGATTAAAAAAAGCATATGACTTAGTCACAAGAATAAGTACCAGAAGACTTGGTAGGGATAGATCATTTTTCTGTTCAGATGCTTCATTTTACAGATGAGAACACTATAGATCTATGTGGATTCAGAAAAGACAAATATGTACAATGATTCCAACATTTTTTGATATAATCTCTGAACCTTAAAACTCTTTCCAACATAGTTGAAACATTGATTTCTTACATTTCAAAGGAAATACTTAAAATTAATTCTGATTATAAATATGTTGAGATTGCTTATTTATGAAAAATGAAGGCTTTTTCCTTATATATTTTCTCAAATACCCACCCACCCTGGTGATACCTGTCAAATGGTGCTAAAACTCCTAAGTGAAATTACCTAACTATATATTTACGAATTTGAAATTTGGGACTAGTGTAAGGAAAAAAAAAACACACTTCATTTAATACCAGTTTCATAAGTCTCTATTGTGTTTTTTGTCAATATTTTAGAAAAATGCATGGCTGATAAATACATTGTGGGTCTCTTGAAGAAATAAAGGAACCTCTCGATACTATTTTATGTATGCATTGATTGAAATTTTACTTTTGGGGCTGTGGATGTAACTCAGTGGAATAATGCTTGTCTAGCATGTGTGAGGCCCTGGGTTAGATTCCCAGCACTCCAAAAAAAA